TGGCGCTCTCGCCGAGGCGCCGGCTACATCTTCATTGACAATGAGGCGCACGCTCCAATACGCTCCAGCGGTTTGGGGGACCGCCAAAACCGGCCCCCCAACAACAACGCTCCCGCTCGAGATTTCGTTTTTTTTACGCAGGGCTGGTGTTTTTGCTCGCCGCCGAAAGCCGCCGTCCTAACAACACCAGCGCTCCCGCTCGAGATTTCCTCCCGTTTTACGTTGGACTGGCGCGCAAGTCTTTCTCTCATCGGCGCCGCCCCAAGCAAAATCACAACGCTCCCTCTCGAGGCTTCCTCCCTTTTTTACTCAAGGCGGTGCTCCTCATCGCCACCGAAAACCGCCGCCCCGACAAAACCAGCGCTCCTGCCCGAGACGTCCTTCCGTTCTACGCTGGACTGGCGCCCAACTCTCTTTTGAATTGGCGCCGCTCCCGCCCGAGACCTCCTCCCTTTTTCCTGAAGACGGTGCTGTTCCTCGCCGCCGACAACCCCCGTCCCGACAAAACATGACAAAACCACGGCTCACGCTCGATGTTTCCTCCCTTTTTACTCAAGGCGGTGTTCCTCCTCGCCGCCGAAAACCGCCGCCCCGACAAAACCAGCGCTCCCGCCCGAGACGTCCTTCCGTTTTACGCTGGGTTGGTTCCCTATTCTCTTTTGAATTGGCGCCGCTCCCAGCAAGAACAACGCTCCCGCTCGAGATGTCCTTTCTTTTTTCTCGGGACGGTGCTGTTCCTCGCCGCGGACGGCCCTCGTCCCGACGAAACCACGGCTCACGCTCGATGTTCCTCCCTCCTTTCTTACTCAAGGCGGTGTTCCTCCTCGCCGCCGAAAGCCGCCGTCCCGACAAAACCAGCGTTCCCGCTCGAGACTTCGTTTTGTTTTACGCTGGACTAGCGCCCTACCCTCTTCAGCACAGGCGCCGCTCCCAACAACAGCAGCAGCCCTGCTCGAGACTTCCTACCTGTCTATTCAGGGCCAGGTCCTTGCCTCACCGCCGACAGCCCCCATCCCCACCAAGGCAATCCTGTCGTTCGATACTTCCTTGTGCTTTACCCTTCGCTGGGGTTCCACTGGCGGTCTCGCATCGGCGCAGCAAGGCGCGGGCATGTGTTTTCGAGGCGGGATATGTTCAAATTCCTCGGAGGAGGTGTTTGCAAGACCTTATTGGGCGGGAGATCTGGGAATGGGAATAACGGACCCCGCTATAGAACAAGAGTCCCCCATTACGTGGATGGTTATCATGATGGTCGCATGCTTCGTGTGAAAACATCGCGCATGAGGATAAAATGGTTGTTGTTGTTCTTGCTGCTGTTGTTGTTGTTGTTGTTGTTGTTGACTTTTCGCTTCTGAAGAATAATTATTGCTCATCCCCCTCACCGGTGCATGCTGTTTTTTCTCAATCAAAATGTGCCCCTGGACGCTCGCACCCTGTTGTGTTACAGGGAAAGTATTGAGGCTCAAATTGTGCCCATGGCCCCCCCCCCCCCATATTACAACACACAACAACAACAACAACAACAACACATCATTTTACCCGAACGCTCAGTGTTCTCACCAGTGCCAGGGTTTTCATACGACGCCCGCAATACCCCCACTTTGTGGGGGGGCCGGTTCAAGCTCTACCACATTTCCAAACGACTCTTCGCCACCACCCACACCCAGCTTCCCGCCCTATGACGTTCGGACACTTCACTTCGTGGCATGCGGACGACCGTGGCTACTACACTGGCGCATGGTTTCAATGACTTCTTGTGGTAACATCTTGTGGAAACTAGCTTAGTATACGACGACGACGATTTGAAGGGCCTACGGTGCGAAAAATGATTTTATGTTGCGCGGTGCTAAAATTCCTACGAAACCCAATGGTTTTTGAAGATTTCGGCGTGCGCACGGAAAGAAAAAACGAATGTGTCCCGCATGGTATTATTTGACAGGGATGATGGCCCTGGCAGGTGCGCAACCGTTGTTGGAGAAGTTCGAAGCACGTGAAGAAGTTGATCGCAAAAGCCCGTTTGACAGAAATGTTTAAAAAAGTTGGGTTTCCTGCAAATCCGCAAGAGCGCGCGGGATGAAATTGTGACACTTTTTTTTTTTTTTTTTAAAAAAAAAAAAAAAAAAAAAAAAAAAAAAAAAAAAAAAAAAAAAAAAAAAAAAAAAAAAAAAAAAAACATTGGTTTTTTGATGTTTTTATGTTGAAATCGCTACGAACACTAAGGTTTTGGAAGGATTTCGTCTTGCGCGCGCGAATGTCCACTTTACCTTATTTTTTGCAAGGGATTCTTGAAGTTTGGTTATTTTAGAACAAGAAATTTCATTTTATAGTGTTTTTTGCAAGGGACAGCGGGGGGGAACAAAACAACCGGATCTTGATGACATCGTATTACCTGAGGCTTCCTCACGAAAATGATGAAAATGTAGCTGCGGCCTAGGCGCGGCGAGGGGGTCGCGCACCAGGGGCCCCAACAATAATTATTCTTTAGGATAAATAATGTTCAACAACAACGGCTCCCGCCGAAGACATCCTCTAACTTACTCAGGGCCCCCGCTCCCGCGTGAGACGTCTTCACAATTTACTCAGGATCGGTGCTCCCGCCTGTGACTTCCTCGCAATGTAGTCAGGACCCCCGCTCCTATCTGAGACTTCCTTACAATTTACTCAGGAACGGCGCTCCCGCTTGAGACTTCCTCGCAATTGAATCAAAACTTCTTCAACATTTAATCAAGACCCCCGCTCCCGCCAGAGAGCCCTTCACATGCTATTCAGGAGTTGCGCTTTCGCTTAGGATGTCCATGCGATGTATTCAGAAATCGCGCTTTCCACGCTCAGGAAACACGCTGCGCCAAGGACGCCGTCACAATTTTATTAGGAACCGCGCTCTCGCCATACTCAGGCATCCCGCTTGAATGTCCGACCCGCCCGCCCCGCCCGTCAGGGGATCGCCCGCCCGTCGTGGGCTCCCGCCCGAGACTTCCTTCAGGAACCGCGCTTTCGCTTAGAACTTCCTCGAACGTTCACGCTCTTACCTTAATGCTCCTCCTCCCTCTCCCTCCTCCCTCCTCCCTCCTCTCCTCCCTTCTCTCTCCCTCCTCGTTTCCCTCATCCTTATGCGTATCTGCCCTATCCCCTCTCCCTCCTCTCCCTCCTCCCTTCTCCCTCCCCTGTCCTGCCTCCTCCCTCTCTCTTTCTTTTTTTGTTTTTTTTGTTTCTCTCTCTCTCTCTCTCTTTCTCTCTCTCTCTCTCTCTCCCCTCTCTCTCTCTGTCTCTCTCTTTCTCTACCTATCTTATCTGTTTTTTTCTCTCTCTCTCTCTCTCTCTCTTTCTCTCTGCCTCTACTCAACCGCCCCCCTCTTCGCTCCTTCTCTCCTGGCGTTTTCCCTCTTCCTTCGTCCCTCCCCCTCCCTTCCTCCCAGTCTCCTTCGTTCTCCCCCTCCTCTTTTTGCAGGGCCCACACCAATTCCAATGGCGGGCGCATGTACGCCCACGAAGGATTGTCCGCCCGTTCAGGTTTGCCCGCCTGTCTAAGCCCGCCGCCCCCCGCAAAGAGAAATAATCCCACCAAAGGGGGCGTGATCGAAGGCAAAAAGGGAGGGTATCGAGGGTGTGGGGAACTCGTTTTGAATGACACGGGCAAGTAGGAGCGAGCAGTATTAGAATGATTGGTGTTGTTAATGGTGTTGTTGTTGTTGTTGTTGTTGTTGTTGTTGTTGTTGTTGTTGTTGTTGTTGTTGTTGTTGTTGTTGTTGTTGTTGTCGTTGTCGTTGTCGTTGTCGTTGTCGTTGTCGTTGTCGTTGTTCGTTGTTCGTTGTTCGTTGTTCGTTGTTCGTTGTTGGTTGCTGTTGTTTGTTGTTTGTTGTTTGTTGTTTGTTGTCGCCGCCCCCCCCGCGACCCCCCCGCGACCCGCCGGCGAATCACCCCGCGACCCACCCGCGACCCCCCCGCGACCCCCCCGCGACCCCCCCGCGACCCACCCACCCGCGACCCACCCACGGCCCGGCCCGCGACCCACCCGCGACCCACCCGCGACCCACCCGCGACCCACCCCGCGACCCACCCCGCGACCCGCCCACATTGCTGGAACGAAAAATGGGCGCTTGCGGTGGGCTTATTGTATATTTTGTATAAATGGGGTGCCTGCGGCGGGCTTCTTCGGAGCCTCGCAGAATGGCGACGTCCCCGCCGACCTGTCACTCTTATCCGCGACTGCGGGGTGCTACGTACCCCCAAGGGGGCACGATCGAAGTCGAAGAGGGCGGGTATGGAGGTTTTGGGATATACGTGTTGCCTCGCCCGCTAGCAGATAAGAGCGAACAGTATTTTGTTGTTCCTGTTGCCGATGTTGTTGTGGTTGTTGTTGTTTGTTTGTTTGTTTGTTTGTTTGTTTGTTTGTGTTGGTTTGTTTCGTTTTGTTTGTCTTCTGTTGTTCGTATGCTTGCGTGTTTGTTGCCGCTTGTGTTTGTTGTGTGTTGTCGTCCTCCCCGCGACCCGGGCCGCGACCCGCCCGCGACCCGGCCCGCGACCCACCCGCGACCGGCCCGCGACCCACCCGCGACCCACCCCGCGACCCGCCCGCGATCCACCCGCGACCCACCCCGCGACCCGCCCGCGACCCACCCGAGACCGACCCGCGACCCACCCCGCGACCCACCCGCGACCCACTCTGCGACCCAACCACATTGCTTGAACGAAAAAATGGGCGCCTGCGGCGAGCTCGTTGCATATTTTTGGGGGCCAAAAAAAGGCCCCGGCGGCGGTCTCCCTCAGAACCTCGCAGAGTGCCGACGCCCCCGCCGGCCTCTCGCTCTTGTCCGCAACTGCGGGGGGCCACGTGAGAATGAAGCGCCTGCGGCGGGCTCCTTCAGAGCCTCACAGACTGGCGACGTCCCCGCCGCCCCCTCACTCTGATCCGCAACTGCGGGGTGCTACGTATGTTAGCCAGCGTGGATCACATGCAGCTTGTCTCTAGCAACTCATGTTGTCCTACGCATGTGTATTGATGGTTCGCCGCCCTGGCTTGCAGAAGAGCTTGCCGTTCGAGAGTGCCCCGGCCTCGGCAACTCTTTCATTTGACGCCGTGGTGAGTGTTGCGTTCGCCCATCGGCAATCAGAATTCGTTGATGCCACCTTTGGGCGTGTTCGATCAAGCTCTCACCGTGAGTCTGCGTGTCTCTCCGTGGTCCTCTTGCCCCCGATCCTGCTGGCCACCAGAAATTTGTGTCAAGCCTTTGCAGCGCAAGCCAGTCTGCAGCCTGGTCCGCCCGGGTCGCAGCGCGAGTCCAGCCGCTCTGCAAGCCATGCCTTGCCCGAGGGCCCTGCTGACCACCAAGAACACGTTCTTGGCCTGCAGGTCGCCGTGGATGGAGGACATCGTGCTGCCTCGGAGGTCCATCTCCGACCCCACCTCTTCCAGCACCGCCAGCGTCGCGGAGACGGAGTGGACCCAGAGGGACACGAGCAGTTGCGACAAGTCGTCGTCCGTCGCGACTCGCTCTGCTACGGGCCACTGCTCCTCTTCCACCCTCGCGGGCGCAGCGGAGTCTTCGCGAGCAGCGGGCCAGGCGGAGGACGAGCCTCTCCAGCCCAGGACGAGGGCGCAGCGACGCCGCCAGCAGCGCAAGCTGGCCAGGGAGTTGGGCAGGCCACTGATCCGCAGGGGGCGCGACCAGGATCGGCCGGCCGACGGCGACGACGACCAGTCGCAGCTCAGCTCCGATCCGCCGGCGCGCCTGATCCGCAAGAGGCCCGACCAGGATCGGCCGGCCGACGGCGGCGACGCTCAGTCGCAGCTCAGCTTCGAGGGACCGCCTGACCCGCTGGCGCGGCCGGAAGCAGAGCGCCAGATCCGCAAGAGGCGCGACCAGGGTCAGCTCTCGGCAGCCGTCTCTTCTTCGCGGGGGCCAGCTCGCGTCGAGGGCTCCCCCACGAAGATCTCTCTGTGAGGGCCTTCGCCGTCCAGAGTAGCCGCATCTCGCTTCCGAATCCCCCGTCCAGTGACAGGATGGCTGGACTTGGCTTTAGACTTGTTGGCCAGGTCTGACCTGAGTCTTAATGGAGGATGACGATTAATAAATGACCGGGGATCGTGTTCACGCGGCGGCGCCCCGGATGACGATTAGAAAAAACCGGCCGCGGGCTGGAAAACTATGTTTTAAATCGTTCTCCTCCAGTCAGGAAATTGTGTCAGGAAATTGTGCAGAAACAGCAGAAAACTATGTTGTTAATCGTTCTCTCCCATTTTTTTATTAATCGCCATCCCGCATTATCCGAAGGCAATTTAAACAGTCTACGCCATTGTGCGACATTCTTAACGAGAGCCTGCCTTGTGGCTCGAGCGTGGCTGGAGCGTGCGCGCCAGACCAGAGGCGCCACTGGGAGGAGGAGGAGGAGGAGGAGGAGGAGGAGGAGGAGGAGGAGGAGGAGGAGGAGGAGGAGCGAGGAGGAGCGAGGAGGAGCGAGGAGGAGGAGGAGCGAGGAGGAGGAGGGGGGGAGGAGGAGGAGGAGAAGCAGGAGGAGGAGGAAGAAGAAGCCGCGCTGCCGTTCCGGCTGGTCAGCAGATGGGAGGGCCTCCCATCTCGCCCCTTTCTGCTGCCGTCGCGAAGGCCATGCGCAGTAGTAATATCTACGCCTCACAATGGTAGTGAATCTGCAGTGGGGATCGGTTCGAGTCCAAGCGTGGCCCAGGCGTGTGCACAGGCCCTCTCCGTGCACCGATGCCATGGCTTGCCTTTGCTTTCATATTATCGGTTCCGCGTGGAGCCGCTAGCGCTCTGTTTTCCTCCGCGTATGCTTCCGGCGGGTTGTTTTTTCGCCGACATTCGTGGGGATACAATTCTCTTCTCAGTCGCATCCCACCTACGAGAGGCCCGCACCTCACCTACTTGGCGAACCCTCCCAAAACAAAAGGATCTGCGCTCCCACACACACCTCCCCCATCTCCTTATCTTTCTCACCTTCACTCGCGCGCGCCATACACAAACGAACATGCATTCTGAAGCAGCACGACGCCTACATGATGCACACGTTTGCAGCCGCACACGCATGATACACATACACAAAACACACAGACGCGGACCGCACTCGTACACACAGCACCAGCACCCATACACACATCGTGGCATTTTCTTCACACCACATGGGGTGCGCAGGGGGTGGTCCCTCACCGCGGTCTCTTATCCGTCCCAGGGTCGCGGGGCATGGCAGGCGTGGCACCTTCCTCCACGCCGCAGGGGGTGGCCCCTCACTCTGGGCTCTATCCCTCCCAGGGTCGCGGGCCGTGGCAGGCGTGGCACCTTCCTCCATGCCGCAGGGGGTGCGCAAGGGGGTGGCCCCTCACTCCGGGCTCTATCCGTCTCAGGGTCGCGGGCCGTGGCAGTCGTGGCATTTTCCTCCATGCCGCAGGGGGTGCGCAAGGGGGTGGCCCCTCACTCCGGGCTCTATCCGTCTCAGGGTCGCGGGCCGTGGCAGTCGTGGCACTTTCCTCCACGCCGCAGGGGGTGCGCAAGGGGTTGGCCCCTCACTCCGGGCTCTATCCGTCTCAGGGTCGCGGGCCGTGGCAGGCGTGGCACTTTCCTCCACGCTGCACGGGGTGCTCAGAGGGTGGCCCCTCACCGGGGTCCTTCGCCGCTGCCTCCGTCCGTCTCAGGGTCGCGGGGGCGTGGCAGGCGTGGCGCTTTGTCCACGCCGAAGGGGGTGTGCAGGGAGCCAGGTCTCGTCGTGAGCTTTCGACCTCTTCGTGAGGTACGACGACGAGTACGACGACGAGTACGACGACAACGAGTGCGGCGACAATAAGTACGACGAAGGCGAGCACGACGACGAGTACGACGACGAGTACGAGGAGTAGGATGGCGACCACGACGACGACGACGACGACGACAGCGACGACGACGACGAGTAGTAGTCGTAGTCGTAGTCGTAGTCGTAGTCGTAGTAGTAGTAGTAGTAGTAGTAGTAGTAGTAGTAGTAGTAGTAGTAGTAGTAGTAGTAGTAGTAGTAGTAGTAGTAGTAGTAGTATA